CTGCTATAAAGCACCGTGGAGCAGTATATAAGTTTAAGTGCTATTGCTATCTACACTATAGGCAGATTGATGTAGGAGTACACAGTCCTGTGTTAATGCAAATTTCTGACAGACAAGTTGGAAGGGGAGAATTTGCTTTTATACGTACCCAAGTTTTTCCAGAAATTGCATAGTTTGCTATTTGAAATGCTGCTGCAGCTATTACTGATGGCAAGTATTTCAGATACGTCTCTGCATCAATTAAACTTAGTTCACCCAAGTACTGTAGAAAAATAAAAAGCATAATCTTCATTTCTAATATTTGTGTAAATTTTCTAGGTCAAAATGTAACAAATGTAACAAAGCTATTTTTAAGTAAAAGAGTTCATTATGAAATTTTATATCAAGATACTAGTTAAATGCCTGCCCCACTGTTTTGTTATTGATGAAAGCTACAGTGTAAAGGTAGGAAAATATCCAGTCCTTGACTTACAACTATTCGTTCAACAACCATTCAAAGTTACAACAGTGCTGGAAAAATGCACTTATGATCAGTGCCCGAACTTATGGCTGCCACAGCCACATGATCAAAATTCAGGTGCCCACCCATATTTACTATAACGGGCGTTTCAACTTCTCCCATCCACCTATCTCCCAAGTATCCCCTTTTGGCCATCTTGCATTCTGCTTTGCAGGCAGCATGCAATCCCAGAACTATGCTGGGAGTGCCTGGACTTGCTATCTTAAGTCAATTTGGTCACACAATGTCTTATTTTATGGCTGCACTGACTTACAATGTCAATCCCAGTCCCAACTGTGATCCTAAGTCAAAGACCTATATGGAAGTCTTTGACTTATGTTCATATATGCATATAGGAACATGAAGAATTTGACAACATGCTGAGCCTTCATTTCTCTGGGATTACTTTTTTTAGCCAAACAACCAGAGCACAATCTAAAATGAAGGCCTTTTCCTTCTTCCTTTCATTTTTAAAAGCAGCATGTTCTCAAAGGACACTAATTGCAATAGATGAACAAAGTTTTAAAAACTGCTTCTGATATATTCAGATTTTGCTTTTGTTTTTTAAAAAATCCTAACACTTACCATTGCCAAGTTTTCCACTAGGGAGCAGGCTGGCTGTTTTAAGAAGTATTGAGAAAGGAATTGATTTATTGTAGGAGCTGCCAGATCAAATGACAAAACTTTCAGAACTAAGTGCTCCATTCTGAGAACTTGTTTCTTTGTGTAAGTGTCATCTGTGATATAAACAAATTCTGCTACTTCTGGAGGGTAGATTTCTTCGAACTTTCTAAAGTAGGATGAAAAGCACTGTTATATAATCACCTAATTGTCACCGTGTTTCTTATTCCACAACTATATAGGTTCATACAGATATTATTTGGTCATAGTAGCTAGTATTAACCTTTATCCTACACTGTAGGTTCTTACTGCTAAATGCTTATGTGCACATTTTAGCTGGGAAATATATTAG